CACAGCAGCCTTTGGTGGATTTGCAAAAAAACAATTACTAGAAGCAGATGTACCTCTGGCTATGTATTAAGCGGTCTTCAGAGATGTAGACAAGGGTACATATCCACATTGAGCATGGGTTTGTTTTTTAATTTAGAATTGAACCTGACAAATTTTAACCTCAGGCATTATTAGTAAATTTCGCAAATAAGCAAGTTCTTCTCTCCTCTTCAAATATTCACAACATCTTCCTCCAAAAAGACGCTGTCCTGTTCTTGACCTCTCTGTTTCCAGCACACTAGATGTTTTGGAAGCCTCCTGACCAGCCAGATCGATAAGACCCATTGCATTTAAAGCATTTGCATCACGAGTTTTCTCTGTTATTGAATTGCATCTTCTCACTGTGATTCATGAGGGTACAAAGATCTTCTTTTGCACCCCGGCTCTCAGGCTGCTCAGCAGCCACCTGCTGCAGTCATTTTGATGCACTGGTCTTTCGTGTGATTGCTGTTTAATGAAAAACAGGCCAGCATCGCCCTGCTCTCCTATTACTGAGTAATTGATTTGAGGTGAAGAATGTCCCTTGTAGAGGTGAATAGTTTTACCCGAGTCATTAATCCCCTCCACCAGATATTGAAATCCCCCAACCGCCCTCTTTAAGCAAAAAATAAATAAAAATCTTGCTCTGTTTCTTTCACTCTAATCTGCGGTTCTTCTGATTTGAATAATAATAATATTCATAACAGTACTACATTCATTATTTTTAATATTGTCATATAGTAACATTTTATTAAAAAAACATAATTTATGTATCCCTATGTGTGAATGTGTGTGTGTGTGTGTGTGTGTGTGTGTGTGTGTGTGTGTGTGTGTGTGTGTGTGTGTGTGTGTGTGTGTGTGTGTACATACCGTTGAAGTCAGAATTATTAGCCCCCTTTTGATTTTTTTTTCTTTTTTAAATATTTCCCAAATGAGGTTTAACAGAGCAATGAAATTTTCACAGTATGTCTGATAATATATTTTTTTTTCTGGAGAAAGTCTTATTTGTTTTAAATCGGCTAGAATAGAAGCAGTTTTAATTTTTTTAAGCCATTTTAAGGTCAAAATTATTGGCCCCTTTAAGCTAATTTTTTAGCAATAACTTGCCTAATTACCCTAACCTGCCTAGTTAACCTAATTAACCTAGTTAAGCCTATAAATGTCACTTTAAGCTGTACAGAAGTGTCTTGAGGAATAGTCAAATATTATTTACCGGTATCATGACAAAGATAAAATAAATCAGTTATTAGAAATGAGTTATAAAAACTATTATGATTAGAAATGTGTTGAGAAAATCTTCTCTCCATTAAATAGAAATTCTGACTTCAACTGTATATATATATCTATGTGTATGTATATATATATATATATATATATATATATATATATATATATATATATATATATATATATATATATATATGAGGAATATTTCCAGTAGCATGTTAAATCTATGCCACGAAGCATTAAGGCAAATCTGAAGACAAAAGGGGGTCCAACCTGGTATATATATATATACTGGAAATATTCCTCAGATATTTTTGTCCATATTGACATGATAACATTACGCAGTTGCATATTTGTCCATAATGCAAATCTGCTGTTCCACCACATCCCAAAGGTGCTTTATTGGGTTGAGGTTTGGTGACTGTAGAGGCCATTTGAGTAAAGTAAACTCATTGTCATGTTCAAGAAACCAGTCTGAGATGATTTATGCTTTACGACATGGCGCGTTATTCTGCTGGAAGTAGCCATGAGGAGATGGGTACACTGTGGTCATAAAGGGATGGACATGGTAAGCAACAATACTCAGGTAGGCTGTGGCGTTGATATGATGATCAATTGATACTTATGGGCCCAAAGAGTGCCAAAAAATATCCCCCACACCATTACACCACCACTATTGGCCTAAACCATTAAGGCAGGATGGATCCTTGCTTTCATGTTGTTGACGCCAAATTTACACCCTACCATCTAAATGTCGCTGAAGAAATCGAGACTCATCAGACCAGAAATCGCTTTTCCAATCTTCTATTGTCCAATTTTGGTGAGCCTGTGCAAATTGTAGATTCAGTTTCCTGTTCTTAGCTGACAGGAAGGGCACCCAGTGTGGTCTTCTGCTACTGTAGCCCATCTGCTTCAAAGTTGGAAATGTTGTGCGTTCAGAGATGCTCTTCCGCATACCTCAGTAGTAACGAGTGGTTATTTGACTTGCTGTTGCTGTTATCCTACAAACAATAATAATAATAATATCAATAATAATAATCATAATAAATAACAGCAATAATAATGATTATTATAATAAAACTATTTAATGAATAGTAAATATATAAAAAATGTTGTCCGTAGTTTATGTGAGTGAATGAGTGTGTATGGATGTTTCCCAGTGATAGGTTGCGGCTGGAAGGGCATCCGCTGCATAAAACATGTGTTGGATAAGTAGCAGGTTCATTACGCTGTGGCAGGCCCGAATTAATAGAGACTAAGCTGAAAAGAAAATGAATAAGCGAATATTTAAAAACTATTTTTATTATATTATTATAATTGCGTTTTGTAAAATATATTTTCTTAATATTATTACCGTTATTATTTGTCTTGCCATTATTCCTAATTATAACTTATAATTATAATTATAACTGATTTGACCGATATTACAGTATCATCTCTGAATGTTTCTCTAACCATCTTACAACTTAATAAATACAAAAATTATATATTTGTCAAAGTGCACCACGTTCGGCTTTGAGTGAGAAATAGTTCTGAAGCTTGCTGTTAGAGTATAAATGTTTTGTGTTTTTAATAAAGGGGTAGATTCCTGTCTGAGATGAAAGCAAATGTAAGGGTCTACCTTGGGTTTTTCCACTTATCTTTGAAATGAAAGGATGTTATGATTAACACGATCAATAATATGATCTCTAGGTGAGTGAATGGAGCTTTAGTGTAGCATAAAGTCTTTACACCGATTATATAGTTTAATATTCCAAGCGTGAAGGTCAGAGATTTAAACCCGATAGGTTCTGTAGAGCATAAATGACACTGCAAATTGTCTCGCCGCGTGATTTCTGTGTTATTCATCACTGGCAGCACCAGTTTTTGCTCAAAATCTCATTAAAGATTACTTCATCTTCATTTCACAAACCGAAATGCACAGCATATGATAAAAAGTTCACTGGTGTGTGCAAATGCTTGATTACTCTTGATGAAGTAGCATAGAAATAATAAACACAACAAATATACTAATATATTATTGTTTTCTTATTATTACATGGTGATAATAATATATTTATTATTTTTCAATATTGCCAGATATTAATGTTTTATTACAATTTCAGATATGTAGGAACATTATTATTGCTTATTAATATTAATTTTCCTTCAGCTTAGTCTCTATTTCAGATGTTGCCACAGCGGAATGAACCACCAACTTTTCTGGCATAGGTTTTATGCAGCAAATGCCCTTCCAGCCTCAACCCAGTACTGATGAACACTTATACACTCTCTCTCACACACACACACACACACAAACACACACACACACACACACACACACACTCACTACAGCCAATTTAGTTCATCCAATTCACTTATAGCGCATGTCTTTGGACTCTGGGGGAAACAGCAGCACCCTAAGGGAAACACAAGCGAATACAGGAAGTACATGCAAACTCCACACAGAAATGCCAGCTGGCCCAGCTGAGACACGGACCAGTGACCTTCTTACTGTGAGGCGACACTGCTAACAATTAAGCCATGCGCTGCCTATAATAATAATAATAAGAGTAGTTTAATATATATATATATATATATATATATATATATATATATATATATATATATATATATATATATATATATATATATATATATATATATATATATATATATATATATATATATAAAACATTCTATTGTTTTATTGTTTTTATTATTATTATTATATTATTATCATCAATATATTATGGGTTGTATGCATTTTTAGACATGTTGGGTTCACTTTTGTTTATCATGCTTGGCAGTGTATATTACAAATACAGTACTAATAATAGGCTACTAATAATACTTAACAATAACAATAATGGTATAACATTAATGTTAATGGTAATGATATTAAATTAGGTATATTTAAATATTCAAATTATTTAATTTAATTTATTATTAAATTATATTTAAATCATTTTATTTACATTTTGTACTATCTTCCTAATAGTATAGTGTGTTATTGTTTTTTGTGATTATTCTTATTTTTATATATATTTAATATGGTTATATTTTGTTAATAAGTTTTAGAGATATGTTTTTCACTGTATAAACAGTAATATATAATAATAACAAATATACAAAATAGTATTTATAAATAATAATAATACTTATATAATTATGATACATTTATTTATGCACTAAATGAGGCAATGTATGACACAAAATAATATAATAATGGGACATAACTTGGATTTAAATAATTGATTAGCCCTTAGTTTCTCCCACCTTTTATCTTTTTATGACTCCTCAATTTATGACGTAAATACAGCAGATCTTTTATGATTAGCAGACATGACTGAACATTTAAAGTAAACTTGAAGTGGAACCGCAGGTAGTTTTCAAATGGGGACTTTCCATATCAACGGATATGTGAACTGTGGCTTAAGAAGGCGAGAGAAGTTTCTCAACAACAATATTGACCTTACCTAGACAGCACTTTTACATTTCTAAATGTAGTAATTCATGCAAATATGTTTCAGTTCACACAGTTTGAATCGGATTAGATTCAGTCAGATTCTGAATGAACATGTCAATAGCTTTGTGAAAAACTCTATCTCAATACAGACAATCAAGTAGCCTATTATGACATTTTAGGTTATTTCATATATTAGTTTACATTGCAATATTTTTTAAAGTGCAGTGACGCTTACGTGAGAAGCATTTTTGCAATTGTTTGCTGCTATTGCAATGTGGGCTATATGAAAACAATTGAAGTGAAGCCGGATTGTATCGTGAACACTTCAGAGTGTAGGCGGAGTCGAGCAATAGTGAGCACTGCACTTCTCGTTTTGTTTTTCTAGTATGCTCTCTAGATTTCAAGACACAGCCACACTGTGTGTAAGCGCGTTTCTTCTACTTTCACTTATAACTCCACAAACTATCTTTCTATTTTTATTATTTTAAGCTTTTTTCAAAATATTATCAGCAAGATTAGACACAGCGTGGTTGATAAACACGCGGAAAAAGCGCAGTTTCCGGGTGTTTAAGGGGGAAACCCGTGGTGTTTTTCGACCGTGGGTATATCACCAAAAAGTCAAAAGCATATCAACATGTCATCATAACGTGCTGCTGGTACAGACTCTTCATCTTAACCCCTATAATGGCTTCTGGTTCAGCTTCAGACCCGTCGTTAAACGGTGTTTCGTCCACACCGGATGAGAACGAGTATCCGTCAGGTTTCCCTCAGAGCATCTGCGATGAGGTGCCGAAAGATAAATACTTGTGTAGCAACTGCAATAATGTTTTGAATAAAGCGCGTCAAACGGTGTGCGGTCACCGATACTGCCTCGCCTGCGTCAACTGGCTGGTCAGGTAAGAGAATATTCAAGACAAACACACAGCTCACTTTTATGACGACACGCGACACATGCCTGGCAGAGCCACTGTGACAGTAATGACAATCATTGTGACTTATAATAACAGTCGGAAGGACTTCATAAATGATAACACACATTGCTTGTTAGTTTGGATAAGGGTAGGCTAAGCTATAGGTAAGGGATATGAATGTCTCAAATGTAGGTGTTATTGTTATTAATAATGCTTTTATTTCAGAAACAACAAGGACCTAGTGTGCACAAAATGTAAAGGAGAGGATTCCAATGTTGAGAGTGACACTAGCGTACTGACTCCTAACCAAGTAAACCTATATTATTACACTTTTCTGTCTGTCTGTCCATCTATCCATCCACCCGTCTATCTATCTATCTATCTATCTATCTATCTATCTATCTATCTATCTATCTATCTATCTATCTATCTATCTATCTATCTATCTATCTATCTATCTATCTGTCTGTCTGTCTGTCTGTCTGTCTGTCTGTCTGTCTGTCTGTCTGTCTGTCTGTCTGTCTGTCTGTCTGTCTGTCTGTCTGTCCATTCATCTGTCTGTCTGTCTGTCTGTCTGTCTGTCTGTCCATTCATCTGTCTGTCTGTCTGTCTGTATGTTTGTCTGTCCATTCATCTGTCTTTCTGTCTGTCAGTCTGTCTGTCTGTCTGTATGTTTGTCTGTCCATTCATCTGTCTTTCTGTCTGTCTGTCTGTCTGTCTGTATGTTTGTCTGTCCATTCATCTGTCTGTCAGTCTGTCTGTCTGCTTTATCTAAAGGTCTTCTTTAGTGAGTGGAACAATCGTGACTCATGTTTGGAAAGTTATGACAATTTCTCTTCTCATTCTAAATGTAGTTCTTCAATGATGTGGCTATCAATAAGGAAATTTTGGATCTGAAAGTTCACTGTGCTAACCAAGGCTGCCCCTGGAGAAGCACCCTAAAAAATTTTGAGGTACTGTTTTTTTTATTCATACTCACTATGATACTAAGTATAATTGTATAAAACAAAAATACAGATATGCTTATCCTAAATAACCGATGATGTTAGTCAAACGGATTTAAATATTGTTTAATAAAAGATCAAGTGGTTTGTCAGTCCATGAGGTTTATACTACATTTATACAGATCAAAAGAAATATTGTTTTTCTTTTTATGTTTTTGTAAGTAGTCTCCTTTGCTTGCCACATCTGCATTTATTTGACCAGAAATATGATAAAATTGTAAAATATTATTTACATTTAATTTAGCTCTTTTCTGTGTGAATATATTTTAAAGTGTACTTTACTCCTGTAATTTAAAACTGATGTTTCAGCATTATTGCTCATTATTGTCTTCAGTGTCACACTCCTTTCTAAATGCTGATTTGATGCAAAAAAAAAAAAACATTTCTGATTAGAATACATGTTAAAGGGCCTTGAAACCCCCCTCTTTCGGTTCAAATCTACCTCCGAATTTTTTTAACAAATGCTTCATTTTGGGCGAGGAGTGCAGAGGGAGGAGTGAGCGTGGCCGGCAGAGCAGTGGAGAAAGAGGGGAGCGAACAACTGACTCACAAAATCAGACACAAACCATTAGGAGACCCATGATTTTATAGTTTAAAAAGTAAAAATATAAAGAAATAAACAGTAAGTAATTGAATGCCTTGCTACATATGTTATTCATAATTTCTTATACACAACTACAATTTGTTATATGATGATAAAGATAATCAAGTTTATATAAACACTATAAATGAGGAGGACTTTTCTCCTCCTCAATCTGAATGCAGACACGGTGGATAGCAGTGCAGTAGGTCTCTTTCCTGTCTATTTCAACCATTAGCCATGCTGGTAATTTGGAGGATTTTAAACATATGGCGAACACAGCAGCACAGATTAGACCTCTTTTTTTTTTTTTTTTATGTTTGAGGAGATTTTGAGTCTCGGTGGGTCTGAAGTACACGTCACATACACTCAAACACACAAACTCAAACACACACACTTCTCCGTCACACACTCTCTCGCTCTCTCTCTCACACACACACACACACACACACACACACACACACACACACACACACACACACACACACACAGTAGAGTTATCGATTGTCCTCGGCCTGATCGATCGCCGTGATTGATCGGGAGTGCTGCGGCCCGCTCGAACACACTGAATAAACTGATAGGCGATGTGTCTGAATGGTAACAAACTCAACTGATAAAAGACAAGTCTGCCATTCTCCAATTCTCGTACAGCTCTCCCAACAAAAATGCTTTGCTGCATCAGCCCTGTAAGAATCGCAGGGAAAATCATGCAACAAATCCCATTGATCATGGAAACAAACACATATGACTGTGGCATGCAGATGTAGTCTCACCCCATCATTGGGCCCCACAGCTTGGCAGTTCTGTCTTGCCTTCGGAAAGCATGTGCTCTCATGAACAATTACGAAGCAGCGCCTTCTCAAAGGAGAAGAAAACTCCGCTATGAATAATAATGAGAAACCAATGCGTCATCACTCCACAATAGCAGATTCGTGATACGTCACCGTTTTTGATCTCACCCCAAAAATTATTTTAAACCTGGAAGATGAAATTAGCTGACAAAAGCTCAAAATTATCCAGTTTTCCCCACAATTAAAGCTGACAGGTGCTAACATCATCTTAACCGATGCTCATCACACACAAATATGTTAACATTTCACAAAAAGTAGTCCAGGGTGTCCTGAAAGTATAAATGTTAAAAACATTGCTTCAATTTTGCTTTGTTTTTGTAGAAATATGTTTTGGATATGTTATAATCTCTCATAATTACTCATATGTTATAAATAATATTTATCACTTATAAGTAATTAAAACATGTTTAAATACACGCTGTTATTATGAACCTTTTGTTTATTTAAGCATTCTGAACAGTAAAGTGTGTCACAGTCTCCTTAAAAATGATCAACATTGATAAGGATAATTATTACTAGTGATTGAACAACAGAAAAAAAATATGATAACAAATCAAATCAACATATTAGAATGATTTCTGATGAATCATGTGACAGAGAAGACAGGGCTAATTATGCTGACAATTCAGCTTTGCCATCACAGGAATAAATTATATATTATCAAAAGTATATTCACATAAAAACAGTTTTCTTGCATTTTTCACTGAATAAATGCAGTCAGGAGACACAAAAATATAAATAAATCAATGTGTTTTTAGCATGAGTATCATTTATAGCTTCTTTTAGCTCCTGATGTTATGAATATGCACATCAGATAAAGTCTAGCACTTTGCTGTGTGGTTTAGATTAGAAAGTAAGCAAATGCATTATGTAAGACCAGACTGTTGCACATTTATGTAAAACCAGCAGATTCATTGGGAGACACTGTAACATCTTACACTTGACTGACTCAAAATCAGTGTGGATTATAGAGCTTGTATCGATCAGATTACCAGCTGTGGCTTTTCTATTATCACTTTGTTAAATCATCGAAACAATAGCTGCATTTCTTGGCAGGCTGTCATTTTCGGTTACAAAAGCAACACGTTGTCTTACGGGAATCCTAACATGCTAGCTTTGTGGTCATTCCTTGTAATGAACCAGCCATTAGGACATTAATCATAGAGCTGTTGTGCAGATGTTGTCCAAGAGCGGTGAATCAATCCTCGGCCGTATAGAGCAATACCAAACTCATACTTGAGGCTTAAAAAGCCTAATGTACAATTTTTAGAGGTCAGTGTTGCATTGAGATGAATTTTCTATGACTTTGACCCTCATGCCTGCCTAATGGAAATCTTTTGTGTTTTTTTTTTCTGTGCTCAAGAGAGTTTGAAAGCCTTTTGAGAATATAATTTTGTTCACAAGCTCCCTATTTGAATAGAAACATGTAGGTTGTACTTTATGTTTTTCAGTGGAAAATGTATGATCAAAAGCAAAATAACACATGCGGTATTTTGCAAAGTTTTAGAGGTTATTTAAAGCTTCAGTGCAATGCTTTGAAGCAAGCAGCATTGTACAGTGTTTTTGTATAATTTACACTGAAATTAGAGTATAGGGCGGGATATAAAGAGTGTCTCCTCCCTTTTTTTAAATTAGATATTAGCATTTTTTTATAGGTATTTAGATATAGGTATTTATTTTTTTATATAGGTATTTAGTGTTCTGCTTCTGAGGATGTTAATGTGTCTCTAGACTGGAGTAGACTGTTTGCATGCTGCTGTGGTTTTTTTTATGACAATAACGCATGCAAAACTAGACTATTTACCATGATGGAAAGCATGTTTAAGTGACTGTACTTTTTATTGCTATATATAGTGGACTTTTATTAATAATAATTGTGTGAACAAGTAGCTGATGTCAGCTCCAGCTCTAGTGGCTATTTATAGTGAGGAGGGCGGGACACTTCATATTCTAGAGAGCATTTGATTGGACAGAAAATTTGATGAGAAGCTGATGTGGCACTGAGAATGTCTTTAGAATTGTTGATCGATATTAGTGAAAAGACTGTTTTAAATGCTAGCTTTTTCTAAATGGGAATTTTGTTATTGTTTTGGAGCATTTTAGCTAATATCAATCAAACATTATGATCTTAAATGTAAAAAAAACTTGTTTGGATTTAATAGAGATTGAACAAATTTTTTTAATTGAACTGTTTCTTACTTAAATGAAGTCTAAAGAAAACTTCTGATGGTAAATTGATAACTCACCCACATGTCATTTCAAATGAAAAGAAGTCTTTTTTGGAGTTGAAAATAAACTTAGATGCTAGAATTTTCAAGCTTTTTCCATACAGTTTATTGACGGCAAAGCTCTAAAACAATCAAAAAACAGTTTCTGAAACATAAAAATAAACTGTGCACAATATTTTAAGACTTTCAAACACAATCACTGCATGCCAAACGGCACACTATACTATGAACTATGACTTTTGCACTTTCACCATCACAAGATGGAACATTGGCATTTTTTGACAGTTATTTTGACGACGTTTGACAGTTGTCAGTCAAATTAGTGAAATAAATAACCAACTACCAAACAGTACCTGCCATAAGTCTAACCGCATTCACCATCGAGAGACGGCATAATCACTCATGTAGGAGAGTTTTGCTTGCACAATCCAAAATAAATAAAATGCTCCAACCATATTATTTTTTAGTCTTTAAGAAAGCCACATTTAATTGATTACGTTGCTTGCCGTAACTTTGCAGTTGTGAAATGTACTATCAAAAATGTAAAGGATTTTTACTTTCAGCTGCATAAAGATACTAAAGATAATAAAGAGTCCTTTACACACACACACACACACACACTCACACACACACACACACACACACACATACACATGTACAGCTACCTTTATGTGACTTCCCATAGAAGTAAACATTTTAATACCGTAGGAAACATTCTTAATGGACGGCACTGTGGCGCAGTGGGTAGCGCTGTCACCTCACAGCAAGAAAGTCACTTTTTCGAGTCCCTGCTGGCTCAGTTGGCATTTCTGTGTGGAGTTTGGACTTTGAAACTACACGAACATGGGGATAACATGCAAAAACATACGATATAGGTGAATTGGTTAAGCAAAATTGTTTGTATTGTATGTGTGTCCTACCTTTTAAAAATAAGAAATACTGTTACGAAACACCAATATGGAACAGCTAAATATCAACTTTGATATAAACGGAAGGAATGAAGGAATGAAGGAAGGAAGGAAGGAAGGAAGGAAGGAAGGAAACATTCTAATATACAGGAAACATTCTGTATGTGGTTTATGAGGACTCTCTATTGGCATAATGCAGTTTATACTCTAAATCCACACATGATATCACCTTACTCTAACTCTGTACATAAACACAAGCCTCACAGGAGCCTCACATGTGGCACATTTTCAATGTGAAAAAATATCCTTAGGTATGATTTTTAAGTACAGTACGAGGACACAGTGCATGTGTAAACCACTTAAGCATGCCATTGTACAAATTTGTGTCCTGGTAAACCAGCAAACCCAGTATACACACACAGGTTTAGTGATGACGAGAAATAATCACAGAATTGTCATACTGTATTTTATTTGAGTAATAAAACATTTGCTTGATTTCTCACTCAACAGGACCACCAGAGTCAGTGTGAATATGCCCTGATCCCTTGTAACATTGGCTGTGGCATAATGGTTCAGAGGAAGACACTGGCCACACATCTGGAAAGCGGCTGTCCCAACAACAAGACCGCCTGTCCCTCCTGTACAAGTGTTCTGACACCCAGAGAACTCCAGGTACTGCTAAAAAAAGGTCCCTATGAAACAACTTATTCATTCATTTTCCTGTGGCATAGTCCCTTTATTCATCAGGGGTCACCACAGCAGAATGAACCGCCAACAAGTACTAGGAAACTTTTGATACATCATTTATGTATTTCGATTTAAAACATAATTCAACATTCGGTGACATTCAGCTTTATGCAGATACAGTAATTATGTTTTTATGACTGGATTTAGCAATTTCACCCAAATTTCCATGTAAGCCAGAAATCATAGGACCTTAATTATATTAATTAAAATAATGTTTGTTTTTTTTATATAATTAAGACAATAGTAATTAAGCCAAATAGTTCTGTGTTGCTATTTTCTTTAAAGCCTAATCCTCACCACGTTTCAATGATTTATGCAATAAACAACAATAAAAAATATACCCAAATATACTTTAAAAACAAGATTATCACATGCTTGAGCGTGCTTATCACATATTTGCATCTTATATTAATTTATATTGGGTATTACAGGAAAACAAGAAAAAGCAGACTTAGAAAAGGCTTTATTCAGACTGACAATAATACGTCAAAAAAAATTAAATACAGTGAACACACTGTGTATATATTTGTGCAAATCATATGCACATAATGTATGTATGATACACGGGTGATATTGTGTAAACAGGCCCACAGTTCAATATATACAGATTCTGGCTCATTCCTTGTTTCTGGAGTGGTTTTGGGTCAGCGTGCCCTTGCTTCAAGCCCCATAGTTGGTTTAAAGCCACAGATGGAGTCTCCAGTGTTTATTGCTGTCCCATATTACTTTATTTTCCATTTCACCCATTGGGACCTGCACTCCGGGATATGGATTAGAGGAAGAAAAAGGAGGAAAGAAGCAGAAATCCAGAGAATTCAGACATCAAGCTTCAAATGCAACACATTAGTCAAAATATCTTCAAACGCAATGTGTTTCTGGCCTCAAATTAAGATAAAAAAGTATTATTAAGATGTATTGGAAAGTTTGTTAGAGAATTATTTGTGCAAAACTTTCATCACTGTGGTTAGTGAAGGTGACATTTGCTAATTTCTTCACAGAAGCATGTATGTCCCAGTTCTGGTGATAAGAAGACAGCAAAGACGGATAAAAAGCAAAAGGTACAGAACAGCTGGATTCGGTGGATCTCTGTATGTTCTATTCTAAAAATGGATGTATAAACAAGAATAATTCTGAAGTGCAGTATGTTTCTGTGCTTTTTTTATAGAATAATCAGCCGGCCAACTCAAAAAAGAAAGAACCATGCATTTTCTCAGACGTTGGTTGTCCTTTTAAGGTTGGTTTTGTTGATAATGCCACTATTTTTCATAATGTTGTGCTATATATCATTTTTGGAACAAAGTTCTATATAGAGGAGGTAATTTGGACCATTATTATGCCATTATATATATTTATATCTATATATATAGCCCCCCATTTTTGCCCATTAGGCCTACCTTGGGTTTATTTTTGCTAATTTAAGCCATTTTTCAAAAGATAAATATATTGTATAAAACTAAACATTATTTATATTACTATCATTCATAGTTCCTATACACCTAATAAGCTCTTTATATTAATAGACAATACACAGATATTGATGTTTCATAATGTTTTACACTACATTATTTGAATCTACCAAGTTAGTTTACAATGTTTACATTGCTCTACTTACAATAAATCTAAATCCCAAATATCAGAAATGACAACAGATTGTTAAGATTTAATTAATGTCAGTTTTATTGCTATTGATTTATGCATTTACTTAACAAATTTCATTCAATCATTTTCCTTCTGCCTTTTCCCTAGTTTATCACAGTGGAATGAACCGCCACTTACTTGACATATTTATATATTTTTACTTTTAGCTGGTTTTTGTAACGTGTTTTAAGTTAAAATAATTTCTAATCGCATCTTTAGTGATTTTCAACTAATTACACTGTCTTGTCTTAATAGGCGGATTTAGCGTTTTTTGCAAAAAAAGCACAAGTGGACTTAGCTGGTTTTGATGCAAAATAAAATTTACCTTTTTAAAAACCAAAGAAATGTCTAAAGTGACATTTATTTTAAAAAGTTATTTCATTTACTAGCTAATAAAATGAAACTTCTGAACCTAATTAGCAGAGCCTGATAGAAAATGCTCATTTACAAGAAAAGAAGTCTGATGGATTTAGAGGGTTTTGCATCTGAACTCTCATATATATACATACACACTCACCGGCCACTTTATTAGGTACTCTAAAAAACCCTCATAATTTTTATGGTGTAAAAAAAATCAAACATTTTTTTTTTTTTTTAAATAAACCAAATCTGACCTCACCTTGACTTTATGTTCTTTTCCCTTTAACTTTTACAATATATGAATTGTTTTAATTCAGGGCAACCCAGACAAAGTAAAAGAACATGAGTCTTGCAGTCATGCGGGTCACCTGCAGCTTCTACTGGACGTGACCAGGGCTCTTCAGCGAACACTGAACTCAGCAACTGAGCGAGTCTACCAGGACAGCCCTGTTTTTCTTGAGCCTGGACCAAATGGCTCTTCACTCGCTCCTCAGGCTGATGGTGACATAGAAACGGATGGAGGAGATCCGGGAGTGAGTGACAAGGCCTTCAGCCTCCACGATGATCAGGTTGAGCTCGCCGCCGGCCAGCAGCTGGACGCCCTGCAGCAAAAAGTGCAGGTCATAGAGAACATCATTTCCGCTCTGAACCGAGAGGTAGAGAAGACACAGATCAGTGTGGTGGCAATGAATAGAGACCATTGCAACAGCCAGCAGATCATTCAGCATTTGGAAGCTACGGTAAGTTTCTGATTGATCCCACATTAAGGTTGTTTTTTGTATGTGAACAAAATCCAGTATTACTTTGTGTTGTGTAATTGAAGCTTTTCAGATAAAACTTTGAAATTCTTATATATAAAGTAATAGAGTCAATTTTCAGATAAACTCTTCTTATAATACTTATTGTGTCATTATTTTAGTGTTCAAAAGGACATCATTTTGTGGATTAGGCCTGAACAATATATCATTTGAGCATCGATATCGCAATGTGTGTATCCTCAATAGTCACATCACAGGATTACATTCATTTATTTATTTTCTTTTTGGCTTAGTCCCTTTATTAATCAGGGGTCGCACAGTGGAATGAACCGCCAACTCATCCAGCATATGTTTTACGGAGCGGCAACCCTGAGAAATCACTGAGAAACACCCATACACTCTCATTCACATACATACACAACGGCCAAATTAGCTTACCCAATTCACCGATAGCGCATGTCTTTGTTATAGTCTTTGGACTTGTGGGGGAAACTGGAGCACCTGAAGGAAATCCACACAAACATGGGGAGAACATGCAAAGATACTATTTTATAATATTGTATAAAATGATTTATACAGTACAACGATAACCATGGTATTTTACGTTTGATTGTTACATTTTTGTATTTAAATTCTTTTATAGACTCCATAAAAAAACATTAAGCACTAATTAATTTTTAGTTTTGCTGTGTCCTATGCTTGTAATTTATTATATTTTATGCAAATGCACTTAATAGAAAAGTTTTCTCCATAGTTGATCTAAATTATTGAAATCTTTTCAACTAGAGCTATTCACTTATATTCTTTTCGCTAGATACAGTTAAAGTCAGAACTATTAGCCCCCCTGTTTTTTTCCCTTAATTTCTGTTTAACTGAGAGAAGATTTTTTTTTTCAATATATTTCTAAACATAATAGTTTGTTCTGTAGACTATCAAAAAATATAGCTTAAAGGGGCTAATAATTTTTACCTTAAAATGTTTTTTTTTTTTAAATAAAAAGCTGATTTTATTCTAGCCGAAATAAAACACTAAAAGACCATAAAATACTTTCTCCAGAAAAAAAAAATATTATCAGGCAAACTGAAAATAACTTGCTCTGTTAAACATCATTTGGGAAATATTTAAAAAAAAAATTCAAAGGGGGCTAATAATTCTGATTTTAACTGTATAACACAGCAAAACAAAATATTGCACTTTTTGTTTGTTGCTGTTTGGAATTGTCAGATATTTCCAATATTGTGCATCCCTAGGATGTCAAATTGACGTGAAGGTTTTGACATAAAATCGATTTGCATTTTTGACATGCTTTTTGACATCATGCTTGTTGCCATTTTAATGTTGTTTTAACACCAAGGTGCCCCTTTGGGATGACGTTGAAGGCCCATTTTGTTATTGTTCCTGGTATAAACTGGCCTTAAAGGGATGGTTTACCTAAAAATGTACACATTTTGTACAGCAGTATGAGCTTCTTTCTTCTGTTGATCACATCATGTTGGTAACCAAACTGTAGATGCCAGCCCTTGACTAAACAATATTTAAACTGTATCAATTCCAATAGCCAAAACTCAATACTTAAGAGTATAGACAGCTGTTTGGTTACCAACATTCTTCAAAATATATTATTTTGTGTTTAACAGAAGAAAGAAACTCAGGTTTGGAACAAGTAGGTGGTGAGTACATTTCTGTAGTTTATTTTTGAGTGAATCATAACATTAGTGGTACTAAAAAAAATCACCTTTCAATAGTTCTGTATAATAGTTCAATAGTTGTCAGTTTTGAAAAGTTATTAGTTTTTTTCTAATACACAAGTAATACACTGATGCACAGATGTGAGTTAGCTGCTAATAGCCTGTCAGTCTTGTCATGGATTGGATTTTATAATTGCACACCTTGAAATAAAAGTTTAAAGGAAAGGATTTAACTTTTTAAATGTTGCTCGGTTGTTATCATTTACTTTTGATTTAATTTGATCAAAGGTACAGAAACAGTACTAATGTTAAAGATTATTGCAATTAAAAAATATTAAAAAATTTATATAATAAATATTTTAATGTAATTTATTCTGTGATTCAAGCTGAATTTACAGCATCATTACTCCAGTCTGCAGTGCCACATGATCCCTGAGAAATCATTGTAATATGCTTATTGGAGCTCATGAAACCTTTCTGATTATTATAATCAACGTTAAAACAGTTGTGCTGCTTAATATTTGTGAGGAAACATGACAACATTTCAATCATGCTTTCAATCAAAAAACAAAAATGTCTAAAATAATACAAAAACAATGAAGCACACAAACTTTTCATTGCATTGTCTCCACATAAATTATAAAATATACAATAATATGTTGATATTTTTATAATGTAGTACGTATAAAATTAATCCAACGGTAATGTAACTTAATGCAAAAAATATTGTGAACGATAAACAATGTGTGCTAATTATAAACATGCACTCAATGTACTTTAAAGTTCTAATTAAATTGCATTCATTTCATAATGTTTCTTGAAGGAGTTTGCCTGTTCTCCCCATTTTGGCATGGGTTTCCTCCGGGTGCTCCAGTTTCTTAAAGGAGTTTGCATGTTCTCCCTATTTTGGCATGGGTTTCCTCCGGGTGCTCCAGTTTCTTAAAGGAGTTTGCATGTTCTCCCTATTTTGGCATGGGTTTCCTCCGGGTGCTCCAGTTTTTTAAAGGAGTTTGCATGTTCTCCCCATTTTGGCATGGGTTTCCGGTTTCCCCCACAGTCCAAAGACATGTGATATAGTTGAATTGAATAAACTAAATTAGCCATAGTGTATGAGTGTGTGTGTGAATGGGTGTGTATGGGTGTTTCCCAGTACTGGGTTGTGGCTGGAGGGGCATTCGCTGCGTAAAACATATGCTGGAATGGTTGGTGGTTCATTCCACTGTGGCGACCAGTGAAATAGAGACTAAACCAACGGAAATAAACCAAAGGAAAATGAATGAATGTTTCTTGAAATACCTCACTCTATGTGTACGATAACACATTTAAAGGGATAGTTTACCAAAAATGAAAACGCTGTCACTATTTACTCAAACTCAAGTGGTTCCAAACCTTAATGGGTTTCTATATTCTGCTGAACAATAAATAAGATCAGGGTATCTGTGAGGTCTTAAAAAGTCTTAAAATGTCTTAAATTTCAAGAACAAAATTTTAGACCTCAAAAAACTTACTGAAATATTGGGTTGTAGGTCTTAAATCAGTTTAAACAGGTCTTGATTTCCCTATGTCCAAGTAAAGCTACCGTATTAAGCAAACTCTCAGTCACCAATAATCCATTTCAAAACTTGTTTTAAATTTTTAAGTTTTTTTATTGCAAAGAGAAAGTTCACAACAGCTTTTTGACATTTTTACAGACAATTGTAACACATTACTTTACATGATTTTACATTAATACAAAAACTATTTACAAATCTAGCTGGCTCATTAGAATTTTTTTAATGTTCAGCCCTGTATATGTCTAAAATTTAATTCATATTGTTCTTAAAAGGGTCCTAAAAAGTCTTAAATTTGACTTGAAAAATCCCATAGAAACCCTAAAGATATTTTAAAGAAGGCTACAAATTAAATACAAGTACAAGGAAAGAAACACTTTTGAGGTCAATGGTTACAGATATTCAGTCATTTCTTTTTTTAATCCAGTGTTCTACAGAAGAAATTCAAGAACAAGGGAATGCTTTTGGGTGAACCATCTCTTCAAAGTTAGTTTCTACTGTCATTTACTTTTATAATTAAAAACTACCCTTACATCAGTGATATGCTGTAATTTAATTTTCATTTGAATGCCATCTAAATTAAAAATTTAATTGCAATTCAGCATCCTGCTGATTTCAAAAGGTATTCATTTCAGTTCTGATCAGCGCACAAACCTGATATCATGTCATTTCTGTCACGTTTTTATCAAAATCAAAGCACTTGATTTCCACTGTGCGTCCATAGTTCATCAAAAAAAAAAAATTACTCACTATTTACTCAAACTCAAGTATTTCCAAACCTTAATTGTTTCTTCATTCTGCTGAACAGCAAATAAGATATTTTGAAGAAAGATACAAACCAAATACAAGGAAAACAAATACTGTTGAAGTCAATGGTTACAGATATTCAGCTTTCTTCATTTTTTTAATCTAGTGTTCAACAGAAGTAAGAAAGTCAAGAACAAGGGAATGTTTTGGGTGAATTAATCCCTTTTTAAGTTAGTTTCACTGTCATTTACCTTTATTATTAAAAATACCCTTACAGCATATTTCATTTGAATTCCATCTAAATTAAAAATCTAATTGCAATTCAACGTCCTGCTGGCTGATTTCAAAAGGTATTCATTTCAGTTCTGATCAGCGCACACACCTGATATCACGTCATTTCCAGTCTGTTTTTTATCAAAATCAAAGCACTTGATTTCCACTGCGCGTAAATAGCAACAGCAGAATTCACTACTTTGATGTGTCCTGCAGTTAACTAGGCATTGATCTCACGCTGGGAATCCGCAATATGTTTGGAGCTAATGAATGTGTTTTTGTTACAAAAGAGCTGAAAAGCTATACAGGAATCTGTGGAAAACATTTATTTCCCTGTGATGTGTGTTTTTTTTATATTTCTATGCCACCAGGGTTGCATGAATCATGTTTTGAATAAAATAAACTTGCAAAAAACTAACAAAGGTATTCGCGGGTCTGGAATGATAATGCATTTATCCCTGTGGTCTTCTTAACACCGGGAGGTGATAAAAAATGATTACAGCTGCATTCTGACGCTCGACCTGGAGGAGTTATTTAACATACGGCAGTCGAGATGACACTTCTGAAATGCTGAAAATGAAGAGATAAGTTGAAGTAAGGATGTGAAGGGAATGGGTGGTAGAAAATAGATTTGTGTGACAATTCACCAGGTGCTGTTGAGAGAGAGAGAGAAAAAACCCAGATGTGTCTAATAGGATGCAGCCTTCTCCTTCCTTTTCTATATTTTCAAGCATCTCACATAAAGCTGCCGACCTTAACCAGCTCTGAAGTTCCATTATGACGCATTAATATTGCGCTTTTCCAGCGAGCCAATCTGTGCCTTTGGGTGATTCATCCATGATAATGGTTTTCACGTTGCAGGTAGCGGAGCTGCAGCAGAGGCTGGTCAGGAAAGACATTCTCATCAGTTCTTTGCAGCAGTCTATCAGCGCCCAGCAGGACGTCTCGTATGATGGCACCTTTTACTGGCGGGTGTGTGATGTCAGCCAGAAACAGAGAGAGGCTGCCAACAGCCAAAAGATCAGTCAGTACTCACCAGGTACCAAAGCACACATCTTTAGTTCTACACTTGAAGGCAGAGCTCATCCAAAAATAAACACTCTGTCATCATTTGCTCACCCTCATGCCATTCCAGACCAAGATGACTGTCTTTTATATCTGTGCTGGAGCACAATAGAACTTACTATTTTGATATTTTTTCTATCTATCTATCTATCTATCTATCTATCTATCTATCTATCTATCTATCTATCTATCTATCTATCTATCTATCTATCTATCTATCTATCTATCTATCTATCTATCTATCTATCTATCTATCTATCTGTCTATCTATCTGTCTATCTGTCTATCTGTCTGTCTGTCTGTCTGGCTGTCTGTCTGGCTGTCTGTCTGGCTGTCTTGTCTGTCTGTCTGTCTGTCTGTCTGTCTGTCTGTCTGTCGCCTTCAATTTTAAAGTTGTTGTCAAATTAATCAGTAAGTAATTTTTGCCTAAATCACACTGAACTGGCTTAGAATAGCACATATAACTTTGTTACAAGCACAATTAACTTTGCTTTATAAGTTATAACTAATGTTGCTGTATTTTTTCTCTTCTAAATCATAAAAATACCATAAAGTGTTAGAAAATTTTGATGTCTTGTCCCTGCTGGGTGTTTGAAGGCCATTTCGGTCATCACACACTCAACATCCTTCATCTTCTCATCAGTAACATGCATTTAAACAGTCTCTGGGTCAATGCGTGTAAAGATTTTGGACATCTTCTTGGACACTTTTAATGCTCCCAAACAGTTTGCTGCAATTATAAATCACCCATGTGATGAGGTAGATCAATATGATGCAAATTACCTTCTTTGCGGTTTGATTGGACAGGTCAGGAATCACTGAACTAAATCTTCTAATCCTCATAGACAGGAAAAATAAAATAGTGACTGCAGGGTAAATAAAAGTAGTGGAGTAAAAGTACCGATACAGTGCTAAAAATGTACTCAAGGGAAAGTACACATTTATAAAGTTACTTAGTGAATTACAATTTCTGAGAAAACATTACTCAATTACAGTAATTTGAGTATTTGTAATTACTTACTTTACACCACTGGTCATGTCTCAGCTCGGGCGGAAAAAAAAAATTAAAAACTGCAATACCTGGTTAATCCTATGTACTGCACCTTTAATGTTAAAGCATTTTTTTGTCATGACTTGTCATTGATCTTTTTTGTTACAGTAATATCTTACAGTATGTACTTATCATAGTCATTACACTGGTAAATAACAAGGTACTATCCATAAATCTACCCCTAAACATAATGACCCATGTGGTTACATTACATAACCTAGTTCTTTCTTAGGAAAGTACACCTTATATACACCTTATATATTATTAAGTGCACGTACTGTAAAATAAGAAGCAAGTCCAAACCAGTCTAGCTCTGGATTTTTATTTATTTTTTATTTGACCATTCTCTGTTAACTTTGTTCGTGTGTAAAAATCCCCATAGATCAGCATGTTGTCTACATGACTAAATATCTTTAGCTGCTGTCATGTGACTTTAATCAAATATTTGCATGAACAAGCAGTCAAATGTGTTTACTTAAGTGGCTTGTGAGTGTGTATATGTCAAAGTATTATTCTATCATTCCTTCTTTTGTTCCATTATTCTATCATCTAATCTATATCATGTTTGTAATCTATTTTTCTTTTGTTTTTCCTGTCTACCAAAGTAAGTGATTCATTCAAAAAGATCTAATTCATGAGTCGTTTTAATTATTTTATTATTCCTTCTATTGTTCCATAATTCTATCATTGAATCTATACTCACTGGCCACTTTATTAGGTACTACTACCGAAGTTGACCCCTTTTCCTGTCAGAACTGCCTTACTCCTTCGTAGCATAGTTTCAGCAAGGTACTGGAAAATTCCTCAGAGATTTTGGTCCATATTGACTTGATAGCATCACACAGTTGCTGCAGATTTCTCAGCTGCACATCCATGATGCGAATCTCCCATTCCACCACATCCCTAAGGCGCTCTATTGGATTGAGGTCTGGTGACTGTGGAGACCACTTGAATACAGCGAACTCCTTGTCATGTTCAAGAAAGCAGTCTGAGATGATTCACACTTTATGACATGGTGCATTTTACTGGCATCTGAAGATGGGTACACTGTGGTCATACGGACATGGTCAGCAACAATACTCAGGTAGGCTGTAGTGTTGACACAATGCCCAGTTGGAACTAATGGGCCCAAAGTGTGCCAAGAAAATATCCCCCACACCATCACAACACCACCAGCCAGCCAAATCTATGCTTTCATCCTGTTGATGCCAAAGTCTGACCCTATCATCTGAATGTTGCAGCAGAAATCAAGACTCGTCAGACCAGGCAACCTTTTTCCAATCTTCTATTGCCCAATTTTGGTGAGCCTGTGCTAATTGTAGCCTCAGTTTCCTGTTCTTAGTTAACAGTAGTGGCACTCGGTGTGGTCTTCTGCTGCTGTAGCTGTGGGCATTCAGAGTGGCTCTTCTGCTTACCTCAGTTGTAACGAGTGGTTATTTGAGTTACTGTTGCCTTTCTATCAGCTCCACCCAGTCTGGCCATTCTCCTCTGACCTCTGGCATCAACAAGGCATTTTCGCTCACAGAATTGCCGCTCAAAAAATATTTTCTCTTTTTCAGACCATTCTCTGTAAACCCTAGAGATCTCTAGGGTTTACAGAGAATGGTCTGAAAAAGAGAAAATATTTTTTGCGTGAAAATCCCAGTAGATCAACAGTTTCTGAAATACTCAGACTAGCCCGTCTGGCACCAACAACCATGCCACGTTCAAAGTCTCTTAAATCACCTTTCTTCCCCATTCTGGTGCTCTGTTTTAATTGTAGCAGATCGTCTTGACCTTGTTTACATGCCTAAATGCATTAAGTTGCGTCATTTGATTGACTGATTAGAAATTTGCATAAACGAGCAGTTGGACAGATGTACCTAATAAAGTGGCCAGTGAGTGTATATAATATGTTTAATTTATGCTTCTTTTGTTCTACCATTCTATCAATCTCTAGTTATATATTCATTAAAATAATTGATTTATAAGAGTCATTTCTATTATTCTATTGTTCCTTCTATTCCGTCATTTGATCTATTCTATCTTTTGTACCTTTCTATCAATCTTGAGTTAAAAATTTATTCAAAAAGAACTGATTCATATGAGTCATTTATTTATGAGTCAGACTGCACATGGTTCAATAAAAAAAACCATCAGTTGTGCTGCATGTCAAGCTGTTCTTTTACATTTACTGAAGATAAATGACCAGGGACTGTCCATATGACCTGTGCATGACTCTCCAAAACTAAATCTATTATTGCGATTCAGAAAAATCTTCCCCTGGGCCTTTTTTTTTACCTAAGCATGCTCCATTTGCAGTTTCAGTTGACATAATCAATGTGTTATTGACAATAAAAGTCTCCCTTCGCTTTCGTGCCAAAGCAAAAACAGTTTAGGCAGAACTGAATACTTTCATGAGGACTCATCGGGAGAGCTGTGTTGAATGAATGTTAGTTGTTATCGTATATTGAGGTAGAATCGATGCACATTCATAAGGCCGGTGCTAAAAATTGAGTTGGTACCAGTGAAAGGGAAAGCATAAGGGGGGGAAGCAAATGTGGAGAGGGTATATAGACTGAAATGGGGTTGCTTGCCCAGGAGTGAAACAACAGAGTGCAAAAACTAAAAGGAAAAGCTAAAGGTAATTTCATTGACGTGTTTTCTTTCCATCATTACAGAATAGGATATCAGAATAACTGTTCCTCTAAAGCAACAGTCAGCAAAACGAAGCCAAACGTTAGATTTTTTTTTAAGGGGGGATAAAAGAAGCTCTCTGGTTATCTGCTGCTATTTTTAGGAGTTTTAACTAAAGCCCATCACGCTTCACATAAAAATGACAATGCATTGTGTTTTTCAGCTTTCTACACCGCCAGGTATGGATTTAAAGTGTGTTTGCGGCTCTATTTGAACGGAGACGGAGCTGGAAAGGGATCACACATCTCTCTTTTCTTTGTTATAATGAAAGGAGAATATGACCCCATTCTCTCATGGCCATTCAAACACAAGGTAAAAACGCTGTAATCAAGCTGTCGGTCAATGAATCAATCAATCAGTCAGTCTTTTCATGCACATCTGTGTTGACGTGCAGATGCTTAATTCAAATACACCTTTAAGGAGTCACATCCTGAGGAATCAAATTACAGTTCTGAATGCATATAGCATTGATGGACTATGAAATTATAACTTTGGGAACATTTATCGCAATTTAAACAAGGCTTGCATTGCTTCCCATAGCTGGCAATTTAGTTTTGTTTTTGTCTCGAAAGACAAACAAATCTCTTTTATTTCAAATAGCAGTGTTTTAAATATTATAAAAGTGTTGTCAACTGGAAGTAACTGAAATAAGATTAAATGTAAAAAGCAGAGGAAAAACTAAACTTAGCACTAAAAACAAACATAGGCTCATTCTAAAAAAGTAGCCCTATATACATTTCTGGAGACCACAATTTTTTTAGCCAGAAGTACATATGGCTTCATTTCGTCTTTAAAACCAATGCTACTTTTTTCTGCTGACCACTAAAGTCTGTGTGGTCGGCTTTCCCACTGTTATTACTAGTTTGTCCAGTGGCTCGCCATGTATGTCTGCAGACTGGAGATGCAGAGAGGAATTGACCAAGACGAAGAGGTTCGAGTCTGGCAAAGAACAGTTCTAGAAAGCGAGTAAAATGAAAACAGAAGCCAAAACATAAACAAGTAAATAACAGGGTAAAAATGCTGTGAGAACTGAAAATGTGGTAAAAATTAGGTGAGGGCTTTTCTTTTTCTGAATTGCTTTTTAAAACTGTTGGTTATGTTTAAGGAAGAAGGAGGGTGAGTCAGTCTATTGATCAGTCAGTCGGTCAGTCAGTCAACTGCGGCCTCTGGTGGGATTTAGGTGAGAACAGCAGGCGCGAATGGCAATTGCTAGAAATTTGAGATCTGAAAAAGCGTACACAGTGACCTCTGGTAGATTTAGATGAGAAGAGCAGGTATGAATGGCAATCGCGAGAAATTTGAGATCTGAAAAAGCGTACAAAGCCACCTCTGGTGGATTTAGACAAGGACAGCAGGCGCGAATGGCAATCGCTAGAAATTTGAGATCTGAAAAAGTGTACACAGAGGCCTCTGGTGGATTTAGACAAGAACAGCAGGTGCGAATGGCAATCGCGAGAAATTTGAGTTCTGAAAAAGCGTACAATGCCACCTCTGGTGAATTTATATGAGAACAGCAGGCGCAAATGGCAATCGCAAGAAATTTGAGATCTGAAAAAGCGTACACAGCGGCCTCTTGATTCGCGAAAATGAAAACTGCAAAAAACGTATCTCCTGGGTATTTGGCGCTTTCCAGAAATGTATATAGCGGTTATGTTTTCAGAAGGAGTCTGGGTTGACTAAAAATTTTTGAAATTACTGAAGACAGAAATAAAATTTATTACAACTAAAATCTACACTGTAAAACTTTTTTATTTTATATTTTTATATATTCAACATAAAAACGAATGAAGATTTTTATGTTGATTTAATTAATTTTATTAAGTTATTTAGGTTTCAAATAAATCTTTTAAGTTATACAAAATTGAACTTACTATTTTTAGTCAGTTTTAATGATGTAAGTTAGTCTTTATAGGACTAGAAAAGTTCATTTGATTCCATTAAAAAATTGAAGTCAGCAATATTTTTTTACAGTGTAATAAACTAAAATCAAGACTCTATAATAAATGATTTAATAGTAATTAAATGAGCAATATCACACTCGTAACATATCAAAAAAAAAAAATCAAACACGAATAAGAGGAACTACTTTCTTCCGCCATTCATTCACATCTGCAGCTGACATCAGAACAGCAGAAACTATTGGTCATTCACCAACGTCACTTTACAGCTAGTATTTGAATGATTCTCTAGCATAATGTCTAAAATGATGACAAAATGGGTGATTTTGCTGACATTTAGGATTATACTGCAGAACGGCAAAAAATGCCATCAGTATACAGAGATTTCCCAGTTTTTCTTTGTTGCAATCAGGAGATCACAATAATTAACCCTTAAAAACCAAAGCAACGCAATCACTTCCAGATTACTGTTGTTTGCGATAAGGAAAAACATTAAAAAACACACGTTCATTTCTTCTTTTTTTTCTGTTTACTGAACTAGTCTGCAGTAACAAAAGCAGGAGGCTTATTAGAAACAAACAGATGGCCAACCAAAAAGTAACTCAGGGTTATACAAAGAGTGACCAACACAAAATATATACATCATACCTGCCAACACTCCCATTTTTCCCGGGAGACTCTCGTATTTCAGACCCTTTTTTCGTATTGTTCTGTCTCCCGGAATTCCACAGTCCAGCTTGAAACCTGGTTGAAGGTTTGAAACCTATAATTTATATTAATAATAATACATAAATAAACAAGGCTGGAAGAAATACTTTGCATAAGTCTCAGGCCAAACACATTGATTAAGATGCGGTTCACATGTTGATCAGTCTGCTTCTGTCTTGCAGTGATTATAATTATAAAATGAGCATCATTATGTTCTTCTCAAAAGGGCTGAACACTTGAATTGAGCACTCTGAAGGGAGCACTGAAGGGCATTACTGCCTCGTCTTGTGTTTTTAGTACACCTAATATAAGAACATGCATCACAGACACTTTATTTTTGCTCTGAATATGTACTTCGAAAGAAGTGCTTTCACACAGTCAAAACTTGAAAATAGATTTAGCTTTTTGAGTGGCAAATGTTGTTGTAGATGGCTTTTATGTTTTTGCTGTTCAAGGATGTAGAAATTAAAAAGGGAAAAATTGCATTGAAATTAGCATTTAGTGTTCAAAGGGGTAAAAGGGCGTAGTCTAAATTACTAAAAGTCTGAAAGAAAAAACTAAATGTCTTTATGGCAGTTTTATTAATTTTAATAATTAATAATTTTAGATATATTTTAGGTTTTTATTCAAATGTATTGTTTTCGTTAATTTGTTTAAGACATATAGTGCTCAGCATAAATAAGTACACCTTATTTTGAAAATGCATATTTTTATCCATTTCTCAGTGAATAGATTTTGGTGCATTTGAACAAAACGCATTTATTAAACAGATATATTTATTAAAGTAATATTTTAGTCACTAAACATCTTTAGAAATAGAAACATAATACATTTAAATTCAAGCGAAATATTTGAAAATAAAAATTACAAACTGCTAAATGTCAATTAAATTGTATCTATTTTTTGCTTCTCTTGATTTTTTTCCTAATCTTTAAAAAAAAAATCAACAATTCTTCCAAACATAGAAATTTGGGTGTACTAACATTTGGACCATTATCGTAATAATTTTGTTAGATTAGCTCCAGTTTTGGCTTCAGTACTGATTAAATTAACGCAAATGCACAAATATAATATTGTAAACATCCTGAAGAAAATATTAATTTAAAAAATAGATTTGTGATTTTCAATAGCATATAGACCAACATTTTGTGTGTTTATTATAGTTTTTTCCAAAGTACAATTTTACATGGATTAAGTTGAAATAAAGTAATTCAATTCAATTATTTCGTCATTATAAAAACAATTTTTTGCCTTTGAGTCAACTTTTTTTTCCCTTAGCCAGAATAAATATTTAGATTAATATTAAATGACATTCCTTTTTTTTTTTTTTTTTTTACCAAGTAAAACCTATAATTAGAGGATAATTTATAAATTTAGCTGTAACAAATTACAGTAATTTGTTTTGGATTTGTCCAAAGCTAGATTATACTTTGGTCTAAGGTTAAAAAAGATTGTTTCCACTTTCTACAAAAATAAACTAAACTACAAAAATAAACTAAATAATTTAATGTCCCTACACTACCTGACAAAAGTCTTGTCATTGATCCGAGTTGTAAGAGCAACAAATAATAACTTCTCACAGAAATCAGTCAAGATTGGTGAAGGAAAAAATCAAGGTTTTGGGTTATATTCAGTGTGTGGGTATGCAAGAGATCTGCTGAGTGGATGGCAAAATCAACAGCCTGAGGTATCAAGACATTTGTACTGCCCATTACATTGCAAACCACAGGAGGGCAAATACTTCAGCATGTGCTCAGGATTGGCCAGCCGTCACCAGACATGAACATTATTGAGCATAGAAGTCAAGTTATTATTTGTTGTTCCTAAAACTTGGATAGGTGACAAGACTTTGTCAGGTATTGTATATTACACCATATTTTTAATTTGTGTGAGTCATTTTTTTCTTAATCACAAAAAAATATTTTAGATTTAGATAAAATTTTATAGTTTGAAACAAAGATAAATTATACTTTGAGAAAAAACTAAATAGTAGCTAAAACAAATTACAATCATTTTGTTAATTTGGCCCAAAGTGTAATTTTTTTTTTCTCAATGCAGGGTGTTTTTCCATGACCTTCACTAACATTTCTCTCACGTACCTGTCAGGTAACGTTCTTCCTCCTAGATCAAAACCAGAGGGAGCACGTCATCGATGCTTTCCGTCCCGACCTGTCCTCCATGTCTTTCCATCAGCCTGTCAGTGATATGAATGTGGCCAGCGGCTGCCCCCTGTTCTTCCCTCTGAAGAAACTGAGGTCGCCCAAACATGCTTACTGCAAAGACGACACCATCTACATTAAGTGCGTGGTGGACACCTCTTCCTGAAGCACCCAGGTAATGGGGACGGGACACATACTGTACAAGAGCAGAAAAAAACTGGATCTGAGGAGAACTGTAGAAGAACAAACCGCCAAATATTCATGAGCTGAAAAGTTTCATCTTTTAGTGCATGAATAAAATCATATTTTTTAGATTGACACCTGGCTCTTAATGTTTTAAACATGGATTCTTTCTCATTATTTTAGGATTTTTATTATTTTATTTATTATGGAATAAGTGCCTCTGAATTTTGAATAAGATACTTATATTTTTATATTGTGTGCTAACAAATAAAATGTGTTGACTGTCTTGCTTTTGTATTTCCTCTTTGTCTGTGGTGTTTCGAGATTTCAGAATTATTACAATGGTTTGCATTTCTAACCATTGATAATATTGGCTTAGGATTGAAATAGTTTTAATTGCTAGCTTACAATTTTTATAAAGGCTGATTTAGCTCATCCACTCAAAAATTCATAAATAAAATAAAACTTTATAATCATAACCGGAATAAAAACAAGCACTACATTATGTTACAATATTAATAATATGAATTCAAATTTTTACAAATGCCATTTTTCTTCTTGAATAATTGTTTAATGTGAATTACGCACAGATTTCTTAACCATATGTATAGAATAAACACAGGCTCATTGTGAAAATGTACCCTGGTATACATTCCTGGAGAGCGCAAATTATGTAGCCAGAGCTATGTATGACTGCATTTCGTCTTTAAAACGAATGCTGAGGGGTGATATGACACTGCAGACGACCTCTGTTTCTTTTCGTGCTACCAGCTGACTGCTTACCTCTGTGTGGATGACTTTGCTCTCACCAGTTCGTCCAGTGGTTCGCCACATATGTCGTCAGATTTGAGATGCAGAGAGGAGTTGACCGTAAAGATAAAGTTTGAGTCCAGCAAAGAACATTTCCAGAAAGGTAGAAAAGCACAAATAAAAGGCAAAAAAAAAAAAGAGTAAAAAAACAGGGTGAGAACGTTGTAAGATCTGGAAACGTGGTAAAAATCAGGCGGCCGTCAGGGCTTTTCTTTTCTGAAAACACTGTCAGTTGGGTTTAGGGAAGCGGGTGATCGGGTTAATCGGTGCTTTTGAAAACAATTATCAGTTGGGTTTAGGGAGGGGGTATTAGGGATATTGTTGAATTAGTCAGTCAACAGCGCCCTCTGGTGGATTTTTGCGAGAACAGCAGGTGCAAATGGCATTCACGAAGGAAATTTGAGATTTGAAAAAGTGTACACAGCACCCTCTGCTGGATTTGCAAAAACTCCAAAAAAAAAAAAAAAAAAAAAAAAAACAGCTCCTGGACGCTGTACGTACTGTATACAGAGGTACGTATCAATAATGAGCCTGGGTTTCATATATTTGTCTTTATACCTATATTTAAGACTTTTTTGTGGAATTCTTACTGTGGTAAAAGTTCTTGATTAGTGTTAAACATTATGCTCCACTTCTGTTTTTTCAGTTTGTACACTGATTAACAACAAAATGTAGACATTTGTAGAAGAAGGAGAGTGAAAAGTAAAACCTAGTGGTTTAATGGACAGTAAAATTAAGAATTCATATTTTGGGGCTGAACTTTAACCTAATGTGCTGTTGGGGATGTTTTCATCCACTCTGGGGTGATTTTGAGTCTTAATCAGGCCATAACTTTCTCTGTGTTTCAGCTAGCAAAATCATTTTTGATGACAAATCTTATTTTGACACATATTTTGAAAAAATGCTTTGAATTAAAAACAAAACAAAAAACTCAACAATATACTCTGGGCAAATTTACTACTCTTTTGTCATGTTAGGGATGAAAACATCCACTAAATTAAACTTAATTTACTTTTTATTTCTGCATAAATCTGTTAATCAACCTCAGTCTTGATCAAAACTATTAAATTGTTTAGAAAATTACATGATTTAAACTCTTTAATTGCCAAGTTCACAAATAATGTCACTGATTTGGTGAAAAAAACACACAAAATGGCGTATTTTATATATAAAAAGTAATTGTGGACTGGATATTTTTTTACCTTTTATCAAAGTCTTGGACATGTGAAACAATATTGCCTTTTTGATGCAATATAATGATGCATTTTTCATTGATAGTGGTTTTCCCTGTTGGGAGGAGGTACAATTTGTAATTTTTACTGTTGAGCATAGCACCAACCCTTTAGATAGGCCTGTGCAAAAAATGTTTTTAGTTTTAGTTTCTGGATTTTTATGGAGTTTAATAGCAAATTAAAGTGTGTATGTGTGTCTGCGAGTGTGTGAGAGTGATCTTTACCACTTACCTTGATGTGTCTGAGAAAATCTAAATAAGCATCTCAGCTCTCAGAACTACAGGGAGTAAACAAAAACAAAGACTATATTGTACAGTAGATTGCACTATACTGTATTTATGCACCATCAAATAACTAAAGTCAATGGGGCAAAAACAGCCACCAACAGTAAATTAGGGAGAAAAATGAAAATCTAACAAAGCATCAATGCCAATGTCCAAGACTTTGATAAAGAGTAAAAATAAATCCAGTCCACAATTACTTTTTATATTAGTTTTTTAAAGAGTTTTTTTATTTATTTATTTTTTATTTAGAGTTTTTAGTTAAATTTTCTAAACGATTTTGTCGTTTTGATCAGGACTGAGGTTGATTAACAGATTTTTGCAAAAATAAATAAATAAATAAATAATTATCTGATGCATTTTTACAGCAGTTTAATGCAGTGGATGTTTTCATCCCTAACATAACAAAAGAGTAGTTAATTTGAGCAGTGCACAAGTGTTAGGAGTTTTAATAGTCAGAAAATATTTAATGCCTAACAAACTTTTTAGGTATATTCAGTTATGTTAACCTGATTAACATGTTTGTGTATGCTGTAAATCATGGTAAAATGTATACTAGTCACTATTTTTATTAATATATAATAAACATAATTAAACAGAACATATTCTAATATATGTGATAAACAAAATTAAAGATATATAATACTTTTGATGCTTTAAAACCTCCTTCATTCTCCCAATCCACCATACTTTACCCATGTATGCAGTTGTTAGTGCAAAATCAGCTTATATGTTCTATAAAAGCACTGCATTTGTAGCTGTGGCTCTTTTATTCAATTCTGAAACATGCACAATCATGTTAACTTGAATGTGTGCAAAAATGACCCTAGTTCAGCGGGTAAGCAGTTTCTAAAAGTAACTATTAGCACCAAAGTTTGGAAAGATACTCTGGATACTTCCTTGAACATAAGATCATGTTTTCAGATATTTTTTTATTATTGCAGCAGAATGAGAGACGAGTAAATATCAGGTAGTTTCCCACAGTGTTTACTGCAGTTGAAAAAGTTGAACGCTTTAAACTAGAAGTACAAATCATCATTCTGCATCAAACAACTGCCTCCGCTCAGCCATGTGCAGTTCGGCCCCCAGTGTATGATTAGTTTTGTTCAGCGACATGAAATTTTTTCATTTAGTCAGCTCGCTATGACCTGTGATGTCTGCCTGAATCACAGTGCCCGAATTTCACAGAAACCTAAGAATATTACTGTTACGCCAGCAACTATGACCCATTATGTGTTAAAAATGTAAGCAGATGACAGTTGCACTTCCAGCAGACCTTCACTGATGCCAGAGCCGTATATATGCTGACCACTCACTCTCACATCCACTCATCAGGAATATAATCATAGTACTTCATAAATAACAGTTATAAATAACATTTACAATCATGTCATGGTTTAAAATACATTGCATAGATTTATTTTTGATCAGTGTGCTTTATCATTTCATATCCGTTTACTATCTATGTATCATTCTAACTAACTAACTCACTAACTAACTAACTAATATATATATATATATATATATATATATATATATATATATATATATATATATATATATATATATATATATATATACTGTTGAAGTCAGAACTATTACTCCACTATTTTATTTTTTTCCCTAATTTCTGATTAACGGAGAGAAAATTTCTTCATCCCATTTTTAAACATAATAGTTTTAATAACTCATTTCCAATAACTGATTTATTTTATCTTTGCTGACCGTACATAACATTTCACTAGATATTTTTCAAGACACTTCTGTACAGCTTAAAATTACATTTAAAATTTACATTTAAATCGAAAACAAATATTACTTAAAGGGGGTAATAATATTGAACTAAAAATGGCTTTTAAAAAAATTAAAACAGCTTTTATTCTAGCCAAAATAAAACAAATAAGACTTTCTCCCAAAGAAAAATATTATCAGACATACTGTGAAAATTTCCTTGCTTAAACATCATTTGTAAAAAAATATATAATAATAAATAAATACATAAAATAAAAATCAAAGGGTGCTAATAATTTTGACTTCAACTGTATTATTTATATGTATGTCAGCTTATATATATAAATGTACATAAAATATGTTTAATTTAATCCATCATCTATATCTCTTTATACTTTAAAGTATAAACTTTATATAAATAATATCTATTTGCCTGTCTATCTGTTTGTAATATATTTGTGTAACGATATTGTTTGTAAATGTTTGTGTGTATAAAACCATCAAAATGTTACTATATATTTAATTTTTTCCCCCTTCCATCATCTATATGTATGTATATTTTAATATATAAACTATCTAACAGTATGTTTGTCTGTCCGTCTGTCTGTCCATCCATCTATCTATAATAATATAATGCCTATATCTTTAATATATTGTGCAGTATTTGTGTATACAATACAACACCTGTCTGTCTAAAGCCATCGAAAAGAAATATATTTAATCTATCTATCTTTATAGACCTTAAAAACTTTATATGTAACTTTATGTAATATAATATCCTAATAACCGGTCTATCTCTTCATATTTATATTTTATCTATCATCTATATCTGTGTGTATTTTAATATATAAATTATCTTAAATTTTAATTATCTATCTATCTATCTATCTATCTATCTATCTATCTATCTATCTATCTATCTGTCTGTCTGTCTGTCTGTCTGTCTGTCTGTCTGTCTGTCTGTCTGTCTGTCTGTCTGTCCATTCATCTGTCTGTCTGTCTGTTTGTCTGTCCATTCATCTGTCTGTCTGTCTGCTTTATCTAAAGGTCTGTCTATCTATCTATCTATCTATCTATCTATCTATCTATCTATCTATCTATCTATCTATCTATCTA